TTCTATGTCATCCTGTGTCTATTATCCAAGTTCCTATGTCATTAAAGGTATGTAAAAAATAGCATTTAAGTTGCTTACCAGGGGGGCCAGAGTAGCCCACGCACCTTGCCGATTCTGCCGTGTTTGCTCCTTGGTTCTTCAAGTACTTGCTAATCTCTTGTTATATGAGTGTGGTCATTTCTGTGCCCCAGTTTGTGTTGAATACTTCTGTTTTGGTGTTATCAAGGGTATTGTTTGCCGCTGTATTAGCCTTTTCTTTGTTCCTTTTCCCTTTGAGTTCTATAAACCATTCTGGGTAGTTGTGGAGCTTGAAGCATGTGTCCTTTGTTTGCCCTGTGTTTTGCAATAAGTGCATGCCCTGTTGTCCTTTTCTTTTTTTCATTTTGGGAATTTTGGATTGTCTTTTAGGTTGGTGTAAAATGCAACGAGTGTCCCTTCAAATGAGTTAGTATTGTGTACTTCCATCTGTTTTTCAATACTAATTACCATGGAATAAACTCTATTCACTCTGGGTAAGGGTTCCATGATCAATATTTGGTTTCTAACATGGTCGTATGATCATTAAGACCCATTAGAAATTGGATTAAGTTGTCCGTATTGTCTATTTCACTGTGTTGTGTTGCAGCATGGCAGGTGCAAGCAGGTAAGGGCCTTAGGTGTGTTAACTCATCCCACAGCCTTTTGAGTTTTGTATAAGAGGTTGTGATAGAAAGGTTAGATTGCGTGATGGAACTTATTTCGCGTTTTAGTTGATACAACAGAGGTCCGTTGCTTTCACCATACGTTTCTTTTATTTCATCCCACAGGTTTTTTATTGATGTGGTGAACACGAAGGCACTAGCGAGCTCTTTGCTCATCGAGTTTAGCATCCAAGACACCACCATGCTGTCTGTTTTGTACCATTGTTCATATTCTACTGCATCTGCTTTGGGCTTTTTGCATCTGTCGTCAACGAGGGCGAGCTTGTCCTTGGCTCTCAATGCAATCACCATGGCTCGGCTCTAAGACAAGTAGTTGGATCCATCAAGTGTGGTTGTGATGAGTTGTATTCCAGGCTGGTCTGAGCTTAAGAGTGTCAACACATCTATATTAGGGTATTGAATGTGTTGTCATTTAGAATCTTTTGTTAGCTCTTCTTTAAAGAGAAGTAAACATAAATATATTAGTTACTTTTATTTCCCTGGTGAACAAAAAAAAAATACTAATTATATACTGAATTTCAAATTAAGATGCAGTAATTTGTTTAATTTTGCTACTACTTTGATAAATATATTTAAAATTTTCACTTTAATAATTATCGACATCTCAAGTAAAAAAAATT